CATTTCTGGCTTGAAACACGCCTTGCCGCCGCCTAGACGCGAATAGTAACTGCTGTGCGCCCCGCTTGACCCCCCCTCCCCCCCCCCTCCCAGCGCGAGGACTCACTTGCTTCCGCACCGTGCGCGCCGCCGCCAGCTTCCTGATGTTTCTGGCCGCCTTTTCCTGCAGCACCGCGCGCTTGTCCTCTCTCCGCTCCGCCTCGAGCTTGCCGTTGAGCTCGTTCACCTGGTAGTTGCGGTTCGGGTCCGTTTTGGTCCGCGGTTTTGAGTTCGACCGCCCCTCGACGTCGAGCTCTCTCTCTCTCTCTCTCTCTCTCTCTCTCGTGAGTCATACTCCTAAAAAAAAAAAAACACAACTCGGAGGGAATTCGTGCGGGAAAAAAAAAATATAGTCCAAGGGAAGGCCCAGGGGGCAAAAATCAAGGGGAGGTATGCATACCACTCTGCTATCACCACGGTAGATTGCCGCTCCTTCCGCTCTGAGCGGAAAAAAAGAAAAAAAGGGGGCGTGTGCACGTGCTGCCTATACATACCATACCTTTTTGGCGTAGTGGTGCTCGGACTCTCTTTTTCTCTGGCACGCCTTGGACAAAGTGTCCATCTCACCAAGCTCAGCCGTGAACCTGTCATCGATCCCAGAAGCAACCAAACCATGAGCACGGCCGACGCATACAGGCGGCGGCGGCTGCGGCAGCGGCAGCGACGGCGGCAAGGCAACACACCATCCTCCACATTCCGGACTAAAAAAAAAAAAAAAACCCAGCCTTTTTGACCTCTCTTACATTTTATTCCTCCTGGAAAACACACACTTCGTTATTACATCCCACGTATGCATAAACATGGCTACTTTTGGCTGACACAACGCACAAAGACATAGAACCACAAAAAACAAAGTGACCCTACAGCAGCAGTAGTTGGCGGGAGGACCGGCGTACACATGATAAGTCATTCATTCGTATCGGCGGGACGATGGGGACGCCTGTATGCGTACCGTGCTAGCGGCCGCAAGGTGGTTTGGACCAGGGCCTGCAGCTGAGCGCACAGGAGTCCGGACACCCCTTCCGCGGCGACGGTCTGAAACGCCACGGCCGGCGCGAAGCCCGCATCCTGCCGACACGACAACGCACCCACGAGGGGAAAGAGAGAGAGAGAGAGAGAGACAGAGCGGCGGCAGTATGTACGAGCACAACCCCCGTGTTTTTCCCGACCATCGGGCGGGAAAAAAAAACGGGGGAGGGGAGTGGCTTTAGTGTCTTTTTCTCTTTTTCCTATTTCGGCTTTCCTGGTGTGGGGCCACAAGTGCCACATGTGGGACGACGGGATGGGAGTCGATGGCGTTGGGGAAGCAGCAGCAACATTTTCGTGTTGCGACCCTCAATAATGTTTCGCGGTCCGCATGTTTTCCACGGGCAATCCGTCAATCCGCAGACTGCTGTACAGCAGTTTTCGTACGTACATATAATAGCAATGCGTAGTGCTACCGCCGAACCGCACGAGTCGGGGAACGCGTGGCTGAAAAGAAAACGAACGGACGTACGCATGTATGTACTTCAGCAAGAGCAGGGGCAGCACGGCGCGCAATCTGGCACACGGCAGCCCTAACTCGCCCAGAGGAAACACAAACAAACGCGGGGCCCGAGCGAGGCCACAAAACAACAACCGTATTTTTTTTTTCTTCACTTCAAATCAGCGGTCACAGGACTATTTAGTGCCGTTTATTCCTGCCCGTGGTCACACAGAAGAGCCTCTCTCTACCCTCCCCTCCTGCGGTACTTCACTTCGCCTTCAATTTTTAATGCGAGAAGAGTTCAGTTCAGCACTCTCTTCCGTCTGTGTACACACGAACTAGCGCTATCCACTTGGCCAGGAGCGGAAGCGAGAGAAAAACTCACTTTGCAAGAAAAGCTCGCCTACCCCGGGATTCGAACCCCTGACCTGACCTCTAGAAGGTTACGAGGCTACCAATTAGACCACCGGGGCGACTGGCAACCGTATGTATGCATTTGGAAGAACAAGCATGCTTGCATGCGTGGGTGAACATTTTGCGGGACCGGTGAACAGAGCTCGCATTATTATTATTATTATTATTATTATTATTATTTTCTTAATATGTCACAACGAATCCATCTCTATCATAGAGTCTTGAGACAGATTAGCAATGAATTCATAGCGTCAGAAAGTACCTGTATGTCTACGATTTCCCAGACAGCATATAGGGACATCTCCCCTGCGGGTAACAGGCTCATATTATTATTATATTATTATCACCGCTCATCCGTGAGAGATGATGCACCCAGCCAGTGCTACGAAAACAATTGAAGGTTGAAGGCAATTATTTCCAAATCACCAGTGGGAGGTACGCAGCAGTATATATCGTGGCACAGTCGGTGTACTCGTTCGTATACTATCTACGATCTCCATTGTTCACGTTGTTGAGAGTTCACTACGTACCCCCTTTCTCTCTCCACGCCACTCTCTGGAGGTAATCTACCTATGATAGGATTGTAGAGGTTACAGTAGTAAGATTTGTTCTGTGGGTTTCTACACAGCAGTTCATGTAGATATGTCTATTGCGTAACAGTTCCATGTACAAGTATCTGTACTGCTGATGCACTACTATGTGATATGCATACCGTATATGACACAAGATAACACACCCCCTTGGCCGATTTTCAAAGCTCGATTTCTCAACAGCAGGAAGAGTCACAGCGCCGAAAACGGCGGCGTTGGAACCGTCTCGTCGAGAGCTGTTCGAAAACGTATTGTTTCATTTATGCATCCTCTTCGTCGTGGAGTAATCGAGCTTTGAAAATCGGTCCAGGGGGTGTGTTATCTTGTGTCATATACGGTATGCATAATGTACACAAACATGATTTCTTCGTTCACCAAACCCGACGCCCCGACCCCCGACCTGAAAATATCAATTCGACTGCTGTGGGTATATCTCGAATGGGTAGTCTTTCTGTGTGTGTTTTTATTATTCCTTAAATCAATATTCTACCCCGAACGGACCACACGCAAAGAGCCACCCGGGTTTCTGGTATGCAATACACGATTAGAAACGCTACAATAGATACGGTAAACGCAGTTGGTCGGTGCACTACGTTGGCACTGGGGCACCCCGCCATACACGGGGACCCGGCAATCAGTCTAATCGGCTGTGGTCGATGGCTCGTTCAAATATCAAGAAAGCAATATTCTGAGCCTTTTCCCTAAATGCTGCCGCCTCTTCCCGCTTTCCGACGAAGAATCGAAAAAAAAAAAAAAAGGCCACCGGAAACTATCAACCAATTTCACTTGCGCTAATATTGTTACAGCGAGCAAACTGGCGCACAAAAAGGTAACACAGCAGCGAGCGGAGGCCGTGCGTAAAAAAGTTCTTGAGGCTCGACAACAACAGCAATCAGAGATTTCGAAAGCAGGTCCGCGAGATCATTCATCACGCGCGTCAACACCCAAAGACCTAAAAGGGAAAAAACGACTTTTGAAGCGACCGCTCCCAGCTGCCAGTTGACTACTGCTGTCGATCATTACAACCGCCAAAACGGAAAATACGTCGCCGTTTGGTCCTTCCCGTTCAGGCCGTGTTGGAAATATTATTGTAAAACAGAAATGTGTAGAGACGGAGACCGATCTGCAGCGTTACCACTGCTCGCCCATCATGCCGCGGCTACGATGGAAGCGTGCAAAAAAGGAGCAGAGGGGCGCATGCATAATACATATCTCAACCGCAGAGGTTGATGCGTCTTCTTGGGTGATGCAACCACACCCGAATATTTACATGTAGACCACCGAAGCCAGTCTTTTTTCGTCTCATCTTCTTCCTTCTCCCGCACGACACTTACTTGAGGGGCGAAACAGACAGAGAGGAAGCGACCCGGCGGGGCAAAGCGCCGCAAGTGTGACGCGCTGCCACTTGTTAGTTGTGTGCGTGCGTGTGCGCCCGTTTTGGTGCAAGGGTCATCGGATGCGCGACGAGAGAAAGGGGCGTGGTAACGTATCTATGATCTTGTATATCTACCCTGGCACGGAATATCCCACAACAAGCTGCCCGTTCCCCGCATATATATGTGTGCCCAAAAAAAGCTGCATACACCCTCCCTCACACCAACCCCGGGAGCCACCAACCAACACAAAGCGATAGTCTCTCAGTTGAACCCAAATGACAACCATGAGGATGGTCACAAGGGGGCGGCGGGGGAAACTGGGTCCATCTCGGCAGGCAAGACAGATACTGGTACGCCTTATTCTTGTTTCGGCAAACAACGCACACATATTTTCTTCGGTGGTGCATGAGCGGGCGAAAAGGTGCACACGCACACATTTCCTATTATTTGTTGTCACCGCACCACACCGCACCTCCGGGGAGTAGAAGTCCAGGATCGAGTCAGCCAAGCCGATCGTAGAGCTGGCGAGTTGGGTGTGGCATTGTACGAAGGACACGAGGCGCTCGTGCACCTCCCGTAAGCTCTGCGTGTGCCCCTCGGTCTGCAACCGAGACATGAGCGAGATGAAGTAAAAGGCCACTGGCAGCAGCGGGACCTGCCTCTGGCCTGGTTGGATTTTTGCACAGGCGTTGGGGGTCAAAAGGGCCATGGCTGTACATACCTACGGGCAGAGTGGGTTCCAGCCGCGGAGCCCCTACGTGTAAGTTCCACAGAGAATGCAGCAGTGTGTGCATCCGCTGGAACTGGACCACAGCAGGAGAGGCGGAAGAGCCATTACATCGAAGCGGTGATTGCAGGTGAGAGAGGCCGAGACGCGTAGACTTGTCGTACGGGCACCACGTCGGGTTGGTCGGTGATGGTCGATCGGTTGTAGCGCGGTTCGGTTTGAGGCTGCTCGTCCTAAACGGGACAGAGGAAAATACTTCCACACGCACCAGTTGTTGTTGGTTCTGTCATCATCGTCGATCCGTGACCTTGCTCGAAAGAGAGGAGCTCCCCAAGAGCGCGCAAGAGATACACCCCTTTTGATCATTCCTTGGGAGCTGTTTCGGACTTTGGCGACCCCCTAAGTCTGCTGGGTTTTTCCTTATACTATGCCATGCCGAGCAAAATCCTGTGTTTTGGTTTGGTGGTGGGTGTGTATACCACGGCGACGAAACCGACTTCTTCAAATCGGTTCACACAACACCTCTTGGCATCTTGGCATCCATGTTGTGGGCCGCCACGCTGTGGTTCCTCGCAAGCTTCTTAGAGACACCTTTGTAATCCTGCCATCGTTTGGCCGGCCACACCTATCTGAGCTGGTCGAGATTGCTAAACCGTCGGACCGCGACTCCCCGTCTCTTCGACCCGCATGACAACATGACAATGAAGCACATTTGTTTGGTAGCATACATGTACGATGTGGAACAACGGGCAAATGTGCCACCTCTCGAAGACGCGTGCGACTTGTGGACCGCGGGTGGGGCTGTGCCCCTGCCTTGGCTCCTGCCTACCTCATGGCTCTCTTTGTGTATCTGCACTTGTTCGCACAAGCGTTGGACAGGGCCCGGGGCCCAGCGACAGCAACAGAGTTACGGCACACCACAGCAGTTTTTTTTTTTTTTTTTGTGGTCGGACACACCTCTTCTTGCATTCCTCTGCCCCTCGACACACGCACGGAAACGGGGCAACCGGAATGACCTTAGTACCCCGTGTTCTGTTCTGTTCTGTTCTGTTCTGGAGGGCACGCACTTGATGCGGGGGCCGAATGCTGCACCCACGAATGTGTGTGAACCTCTCTCTTGTGATGTAAGAACCACCTCTTGCCGCCTCATACAGCAGTACAGGGGGCAAAAGAAACGAAAACCCGGGGTCACACAGCAGAGAAGGCGGAGGTTCTTACGACCACTCTGCATGTACGCGTACAATAACAAGTAAACGGCCTAAGCATACAAGTATTGAACGCCCCCCCCCGCCCCCACTCGCGACAAATCGTGCTCCTGTGTGTGCAAGTCCATGAAGACAATGAGTAGTGGACGCTGACCGTTGCTCAACTCGGGAAGCCGCGGCACAAGAAATAGATGCTGATACAATCTATAAGCACTTACCGCTTGTAAAAAAAGACAGCAATCTTTTGGAGTTTCCTCGCACCCCTGGGAGGCTGGGGAGGTTCGTGGTCAGTGTTTGCCTCCGACCAATGTACCCCCCCATCCACCGCTGGCGTGAGGTGCTACGCATCTCAACGTCGGTGTAGCAAAGCGTCTCGTGAAGATGAGTAACTTCCGCCAGGTACAACATTTCGCTCAGTCTCTCGACGGTTATACTCAAGCGCCCCTCCAATGCTGGGGAGCGCTCTTTCACCGACCAGACAAACACCTACCTACCCTACACGTGCAGTTTTACAGTAAGGATAGCGACATACGATATCTGCTACCCTTGGAGGTGTTCAAAAGGAACAATAGCAATACTTACTTGTAGGAGACCAGCGACCAGGTCAAACCCATTGGTCGGGGCGCAAACCAAGCCTAGGCGGAGTTCAACCAAAGGGCAAGGCAGAAATGCCGTATCTCGAAAAACAAGACTAAATCAAGAACGCGGTCCTCACTTCGGGTAGTCAGCAGCTCATTGGCCGCTTGGCTGCTACGCTAACCTCCGGTTGGTCGCTTGGCTGCTACGGTAACCTCCGGTTGGTCGCTTGGCTGCTACGGTAACCTCCGGTTGGCCGCTTGGCTGCTACGGTAACCTCCGGTTGGTTGCTTGCGCCACGCGACGCCTTGAAACTCGCCTACAGCAGTAGAGGCCCTGTGCATCGCGGCCGTCAGGTCTCCTGTGCGCTTACAGTTTCCCGCGGCAGCTTGCCGACTCCGAAAGCCCCTAGTTCTTTGAAGATTAGTACTGTGCCGGATGGCCGCGACGTTGGGTCCCCTCGAATTTCATGAGCATCCTGTAGAGTTGGTCGTCTCTCTGCTTGGCATTTGTCCCCTGGAACTGGAGCCGCCGCCGACGAAACAGTCACTCTCCTTTGCGTTCATGCATGTAGACAAGCTGTACCCCGGTTCCCTCCCTCGGGAGCTTGAGAGATCGATAGGGTGCCGTTGTGTTATGTGCCAAGAACGTGGCAGTACATGCCCCATGCAACACGTTTTTCGGTTTTATTGGTCCCTTGCCGCTCGCTGGCCAACAGGTTGGTTTCCGCGCAGGACGCACTCAGGCAGTCAGCGCCAGCCAGGGCACGAGAGGCACGCCCGGCAAGTAAGTAGTATAGCTATCGACAGGCGGGGTAACGCACACAGCAGCAGCAGCAGCAGCAGCAGCAGCAGCAGCAGCAGCAGCAGCAGCCTGAGAGGAGGGGAGAACTGGCGCTCACGACCGACCTCCCCCCGGCGTCGTGAGAACGGGAATGGAAGAGGCCGACGCTCGCCTGCAGGAAGTCGTCGCTTCGCTGCTCAACGAGCACGGGGGTAGCCACGAGCAGGCGCTCCGGCAGACGTTCGCGTGCCTGCACAACTCTGGGCTGTACGAGGCGCAGTCTGCCGCTGAGGAGGAACAGAGGGAGCAGCAGGTCCGTTCGTTTCTTGTTTTTTTCGTTCGCCGTGAATGCCTCCAAAGAGTTTGATTGTTAGACGTGAATCCGGTCGGCGAGCCGGGCCGCCGAGGAAGGCCATCGGGCGGGCTGAAGCACGGGGGCGTCACTGCCCCGCCGCCCAAGAACAACACCAAAGGCCGTGAATTCGTGCCGTACGCCGCAGTGGTGTGTAGTCACCAGGACACACATCCGCGTAGCCCCGGGCTGCTGGTCGTACGTACGTGCGGGCATTTATCCTCTCTTTTCTTCATACGGAGTGACTTCCCATTGTGGCCTGCTGCTATCGTCCGTCTGTGCCTGTGTTGTATTCGCCGACTAAATAGAAGTTTTTTTTGTTTCCTCGTGCTCGCTGCAATCGACGACGCACCCCACCGCCGACGCGTTCCAGGTGCTAGCGGTCTTCCGCTCGTTTCCGTTCCGAACCCCGGCCGCCCCCGAGGGCAACGGTGCCGGGAGCCTCGTGGAGGAGACCCAGGCGCCGCCGCCGCCGCCGCCGCCGGCGGCGTACAACAACGCCCTCGCACGGGAGCCTGAGGAGGCGGGCGAGGTGACCCCGGCCCAGGTGGACCCGGAGAACGTGGGGGAGGACGCAGGAGCTCAGCCAGCGGTAAGTCGACTTTCGTCTGAGGAGAAGAGGAGAGCAGCGGGGGGTTGCCGATCGTTTCGGCAATGACACCCGTTGACGCTGCTGTGGAGAGCATGCGTTTCGCGTGTCGGACGGGTGTCATTGCGCTTACCCTCTGTCCTGGCTGCTAAGTAAGAACGTTGGGGTGTGCACAGCGGTAAATACCCGCGGACACAGGCACCGGTAGGCGGCCTGGGATCATCGAGTCCGCAAGAAATGCAAAACGCAACGTTTCGGATTCAGTCCCCACGCCGCTATGGCAGCAAAGGAAGTACAACGTGCGTGCAAGCGATGCAGAGCTCCACTACTATAGGAATATGGCGAGGGCAGGTCGATGACCTGCCGGGGCTGAACGATGCATTCAGGGCCAATGCCCTCGCCATGCTTCCTGCAGTAGTGGAGCTCTGCAACGACTGCACGGAGTTCGCGTGGGTTTTCAACAACCAACTCGGAGCTCGCGTTGTACTCCCTTTGCTGCCATGGCGACGCGGGGACGCTGCATGCTAGACCTTAGCGCTTTGCTTTGCCTGCGAACTCGTTGATCCTTGGCGGCCTACCGGTGCGGCTAGGTATTTACCGCTGGCTGCATGCCCCAAGTGCAGGGTTTCCTCTTGGCCAGGACAGAGGGTACGCGCAAGTTCCTCCTTTTGTTACCCGCTCTGTACTTTGGTTGGGTTGCAGCTTGCCGTTTCGGCGGCGGCAATTCTGGAACACTACAAAGTAGATGACCCACCGTGGTTTCCGATTCTTTTTTGCGGACGAACGCTTATCTTGTGCGTCTTGTATCCTTGTGGTGGAAGCTGCTACTGTGTACGGTGCTCTGTCCCCTCCCCCCGCCGCTGCCGGTTCTCTTGTGTTTCGGCTGAGGGTCGTCTTTTGATGTCTGCTCTCCGCCCGCCCACCTTGAATCGAACGGCCTCCTCGTCGCAGCCCGAGGCTTTGTTGCCGCTGAATCCGGTCGAGCCCCAACCAGCAGACCAGCAGCCATCGCCGGCGCCTCCAGGTCCGGAGGTGAGTCACCAGGGAGCGGCCCCGCCGTCCAACCTCCCACCGCATCAGCCACCTGCCGGAGAGGACGCGGCGCCGCCACAAGTCTCGGCTACTCCCGAGAGTTTCGCGTCTGCGGCACTGGATACTGGAGACGCAGTAGTCGCACCGGCAGCGGCGGCGGCGGTAGGAGGCTTGCCAGCGGCGGCGGCGGCCGGGGCGGTGGCCGGGGGAGGCGTTGAGGAGACGAAGGGCGAAGAGTGGGGCGAGGGGATAATATATCCCGAGACTGGGGAAGCGGAGGCGGGGTTGCCGGTCGCCGTAGAGGAAGGCGCGGCGGGGGCATCAACGGAAGAATCGGGGTCACAGCTTGAAGCGGGGGGGCAACAAGAAGAGACAGGGAACGGAGCGGCGGGAGCGCACGGCGAGAGCACTTACGGCTGTAACGGCACCGCGGCGTCCGAAACCAGCAAAGGAGTAGTGTACAGCGACCCGGAGAGCACCCGGCAGGAAGGGGGCACGGCATCACAACAGCAGGAGCCACCACCTCAACAAGAACAGGAGGCGGCGCGAACCCCTCAGGTTAACGGAGGTCCTTCCACCGCCGCCGCCGCGGCCGCCGCCGCCGCTGTGGGTGAAGCAGCCGGAGGAGGGAGAAATATGGACGCTCTCGCGCGCCCCGCGGACGCTGGCGATGGTGGTGCTGCCGCTTCAGCGACCGTTCCAGCTCCCGCCGCCAGCACCGCCGGCGCCGCCGCGGCCGTGTCTGCGCCGACGACGACAGCGGTAACAGAGCCACACCTCAAGACCGCTGGGCAGCCCTTGACCCACGCGAACCGCGCGGAGTCCCCTACGGGGATGTCGACCGACCTCCAGGACAAGCTCAAGGCGCTCAAGTTGCGCCGCAAGCACCGGTTCGTCACGATGCGAATCGAGGGGACGGAGGTGGTGGCGGAGACGGTGGCGGCGCCCGCGGAGGGCCCGGCGGAGCTCAAGGCGGCGCTGCCGTACAGCGACTGCCGGTACGCGGTCTACGACCAGGCGATCGTTACCGCGGATGGCCGCAAGGCCAACAAGCTCTTCTTTTTCACGTGGGTTCCGCACAACGCCACGCCCCACAACAAGGTATGTAACGCGTGTCTCGTTCTTTTCTTGTGAAGGACGTCGGCGTTGACGTGTTCGATACAGCGGCAGGGGGGTTAAAGCAAGCCAGAACAATCGTGTATGCAATGTTCGGTTTGGGCTTCAGTGTTCTGGCCTGTGGCCGCTCGTTCAACAATAGATTTTATGGGTTTCATCAATGTGGAGGGGGACGGCAACCTTTGGGCGCTGTGGTGGACTTATCCCAAGCCTAGCGTTGTCTACACCCTACCGTTAGTGTGGCCCAGACCCCCCCCTAGACCCATCGTTTTTCGTCTCTTACGGATGACCCATGTCTACCGGGCTGTTCAACTCCGAAAGTCCCCGGCGAATGCGCTTCCTCCTGACAACCATTCTATGCGCGGCCGTGACCGAAAGCACCGCACCACTGCTCCAATTTAGAGACGAATGTTCCACCACTTGACGATTCTTCGTTCACCTGGTTTATCGGCAATGGGGGCCGTGTCCCTCGCATCTGTCGGTGGGTCCTGCGTTTGCGATAGGTTGGTGTTGTATTGCCATCCGTTTTTTTTGTTTCACACGAAAACCGACCACTATGCGCGTACGCACACCCCGACTTTTTTAAAAATCTTTTGTCGGCGCACAGATGGCGTACTCTCACGGGAAGGTGACGGTGAGGCAACGCCTGGAGGGTTTGTACGATGTGGCGGCCAGCAGCTTCGGGGACGTGGAGGTGGCGCTGGGGTTGGTCGACGAGGACGAGGAAGACTCAGACATCGACTTTTGAAGTACATCTCTAGGCACGATTCGGGGTATTTGTTCGGGGTATTTTGCTGACGGCGACGATCGAGTTAGTTGTGCTCTTTCCTACGGTACGTTTGTGTTTTGGTTTGACTTGTAGCTTGGGCTTTTACTAACAAACTGCGCTGCAGGGTGTGGGCCGCTAACGACGAGTGTTTAACGATAACGGTGTGTCATGACTGTTTCCCCCAGCTTTTTGTTTTGTCTTTTTTTTTTTTTTGTGCTTGAGGAGCCCCACCTGCGAGTCTTCCCGTGGAAGGGGGTTGAGGCGGGCTGTGTTGATTCTTGCGTTAGGTCTGTAGTCTATGACCGAGCACGATTTTGTCCTTTCAGCGATCGTTCGATTTTTCGTGACTCGTTGCGTCGTGTTCCACCCACCCACACCCTCATGTCGTCCCCTTTCGTGTATCTGTATGGGCGGGATCGATGGATTCTCACCTCGACGCACCATCATTGGATAGCTGCGATTCCACGAGCTGTCATCCAATCAGCGTCCCTCTACTGAGTCCATTCGTTGCTGTGGGTGGATTCTAGTCCGCGGGACGAGTTTCGGTAGGGTTTCCTTCGCCAAGCATGCCTCTGTCAGACACTGAGAAATGAACTCGTGTGTTTTCGCGAGATTTTGCTGATCTAACCGGTTCCTCCGTGCGATGTGCTTCGCGCGGCGCAATAATAACACCATTTTTCGCGACGAAACATTGTTTCCTTCCATACAATCGGTGCTTCGTGCTGTCTTCGCAGCGCGCCCATTCCGCACAAGCCAGCGATTCTAGAGCTTGGATCACAAACAAACCTTCTTCCGGCGTGACCCAAGACTTGCATGTGTTGGTCCTGTGTGTGTGTTTTTTGTGTTCGTGTGGTTCAAGCACGCGCGCACGTGCTGGATGAGTACGAAGAAGTACCGGCATCCTGGCTTGCCCGCCCCTCTTTTGAGCTTTTGTTTTTTGTTGCTGGCGTGTCGTTTTGCAGAGCAGTAAAAGCTGGTAGGGTTCCCCCGTGTATCCTCAATACCCTTGGATGGATGTTCAAGATGGTAGATTCAACCCAGGTAGGACCTTGTGCAGACAGACGTCGTTCGTTCGTGACGTACAAAAGATGAACTCGCGTTGTAATTGTCGATTGAAAGAGGGTTACGAACGCCCATCTTCTCGCGATAATGCTGTGCCCGTCCGTTTGGCCCCGGATTGTAGCTGTTCGGCAGAGGAGGCCGTCGGTAATGTAGCAGGTGCTGCGAGCGGCGACACGTGGTAGGCATGTTGGGATCACCGCAAAACATTGTGCAATCAAGGAGCTGCAATCAAGACCAAGCGAGACCCTCCCTTCCTCCTTTCTTTGCTCCATAATCCCGGTCGAGGAAAAAGCTTGTTGTGACGGGAGTCCTGGGGGACCGCCTTCCAGATAGAAACGTGTAGCGAGTAGTGACTAGAGATCGAGACGAGAGAAGAGAAGACGTCTTAGGTTCTATCTGGGGCAACCAAAGCCGCCCTGTCATCGTTTCAAGAGAAAATATTCTCTCCTACATTGTTAGACTAGACCAGGGACCGGGGACGTTTTTTTATTTTTAATGTGAGGTGGTGAAGGTGACTGTCCGGTTTCTGGAATTTGAGGGGGGACCGGTTGGTGTCCTTTTTTGAGGTTGACGCACGACTGGTTTCTCTTGTTTTTTTGGTGGCATGAACGTTTCCTCTGCCCCGCGGGCTAACTTGTCATGGGCACGGACGGAACACGGCTGCATTTGCTTCTAAATTGCACATTACTCCTCTTGGTTTAATTAAGTGGTTGATGGGATAGAAGCAAACAACGCCGCCATCATCGACAGACCGCCTCCTGTACGGAGCAGCTGGTTCGGAGTACAGAGGGTAGGAGGACACACAAGCAAGATAACATTTTTTCGTTTTGTGCCAAGCTTGCCTTCGTGCCTACTGCAGTATAGTGCGCGCGTTTGCGTATCGTAGACCCGCCTTCTTACAATATACAATATACAATCGGTGGGTGACATTTTTCCATTAAACAGCACCAGCAGAAGTAGTAGAGACCGGTTGCATGCAATAGAGTATGTAGGTTGTACAACGGGTACAAACAGCTTTCGCGGGACGTGTGAAGAAAGAGTGCCGCTCTCTCGGGTTACGTAGTCCTCCTCCGGAACGAATGTATTAACCAAACGAAGCCCTCTGGTTGCCCTCTAGGGGAACGTGTGTGCAAGAGAAAAGAGAAGGATGGATGGGCGGTGCGGAAACACTACTTTGTTTTTTGTCCCTTGTTCCCTCCGCCAGCTGCTGCTCGCTACTACTGTAGATACTGTAGACTGCGTGTGTGTACACCCAGGCTTGGTACATGTATGTCTACATAGACTAATAGACTATTCTTGTAAGACCGAGATCCAGGTGGTATGGGGCAACTACAAGCAGTACGCTCGATACCGGGCGTGGGGGCCCTAAACTATTCCTCCGACTTGACGATGGGTCCCACGATCCCACGATAGTCCACCCCTGCAACGCACCAAGCAACACACTCGTTTATGCTTTATTGCTGTCGATTCGAGTCTTGGAGGGCGAGCGAGATCCAGGTGGAAGGTAGGAGTACATAAGAATTACCCCGCGAAGACCGGTGGCAACATGCTAGATTAGCCGCCGGGAAGACGGAGAAACTTATTTGTAGAGATCTCAGCATCTCTCAGCTGAGACAGGATCCGCTCAAACCATTCTCACAAAGTATACCCCGACGGGACTGTTCCGAAAAAAAAAAAAAGTGCGTGTGCCTGATGCTGCTGATGATGGACACACACAACACCCACGGCCACAGGCTGCTCTAGACAGGTGAATACTGGATGGACCTCATATTTCATATCCCACCTGGGGCATGTTGGCAGGAACAAGGATGGCGTGTGTCAGGGAGCAGGGAAACCGTATCTCAACACGAAAATAGGACTTTTGCAGCAACTTCAGCGCGCGAAGTTTCGGGGCTCCGTTACGCGTGTAGATAGATGCAGAAGTGCGGTAGTCTACAGCGCGCTCCGTTTCCTCCTGTCCGCCTGTCGCTGTGCCTCACACGTCTACCCGAAAACCGCCGCGACAGACGATGACGATGAAGATTACATCATTGGCGGCGCTTCTCTTCCTCGGTGGGAGTGCCGCCCAGACTACTACCGTTGGCAGCTGCTCCGACTGGCCTTCCACGATCACGACGGACACGGTGCTGGAACTGACCGCGGCTGAGGTGCGATATTCGATTGGTTGGTTGTAGTGCTGTAGTCTATATACATAGCCTACATGTTTCCTTCGATACCCTTGGTATTTAGGAACTCTGCTTGATGAAGCCCACCTGCGCGAAAACACCGAGAGAGTCTCTCTCGCGGCGGGCAAAGAGGATCAACACATCAACTCTCATCGTTCAGATAACTTGCTGAGAGTTGTGTCGAAAGGGTTGTTCTGAGCTGTGTCTTCTTGAAAACGTCGCATTATCATTCCTGAGAAAGCCGGCAAAGCCGCAGCAACAACTCAATTTTGGATTGGAAGGAACAACGTGTATTCGAATACAAAAATAGCTGAGACAACAGCAGGGAAGAACACTCGGTGTCAAATTTTCTTGTTGTTTCATGATTGGTACCACACCATATCTTCGAATCCCGGCGTAAGCGAGCTTTTCTTGCAAAGTGAGTTTTTCTCTCGCTTCCGTTCCTGGCCTAGTGGATAGCGCTAGTTCGTGTGTACACAGAGGGAAGAGAGTGCTGAACTCTTCTCGCATTAAAAATCGAAGGCAAAGTACCGCAGGAGGGGAGGGTAGAGAGGGGCTCTTCTGTGTGACCACGGGTTGGAGTAAACGGCACTAGTGCTGTGAGCGCTGATTTGAAGTGAAGAAAAGAAAACAAAAAAAATCTTTGCATACGGAGCCGTTCGAGATGATACCCCGCGTTCCAAGTTGGATACTGTCCGACCGGGTCGATCGGTCAGGCCAGTTACATATGATACAAGGCTCCCCTTTCGGGAGATAGATGGCTTGCCTCCCGGGGGCGACGCAAGAGGCCATGGCCAATGTCATCGCGGTCGCATCGTTGCTCGTTACATCTCAAAGTCATGACGTTCGGTAGTACCGGTTTCGCGTACAACCTGCACAAGAAATTGCCTGAAATTTGAAATTTGCGCCATGTGCAACCAACCTGTGAGGCTGAGTCTTACGGTGTGCTTATTGTTTGTGGTACTTGGATATGAGTCCGATCTGTGCATCCTCTGTGGGGGATACGCGTATTGGAAGTATGGGTGTGAGGGTATGTATGCGGTTGTGGTCCAAGTGCGGGGCCCCCGGGAGCACACAGCGGTGTGCTCCCGGCACTTGCTTGAGGGGCTTGCGTGTCGACTACCAGCTTGCCTGCTGAGGGGTTTGCGTGACGAATATATACAACACATGGTCCTTTTTTATCAGCTGTTCCTGGGATAACATAGTCCCCAGTTTCAACACCACAGACCGCTGAGGGCGACAGTGCACTAACAATTATTTCAGAGATTTTTTTTTTCTCTCGGGGGGGGGGGGGGGGGGGCCGGCCCCAAAAAAATTCCCAAAACCCAAACACCCTCCTACGGGTCCTCCAGGGAAATTTTTTTCTGAAAGGAAAAAAAAAGGGGAATCCTGGTCCTGGGAGTCCCCACATGCCTCCATACACCGGTTTGGGCCCGGGGCGACCCAAAAATCCCCCAGCGCCCCAATTTTGGGGCCCCCGCCAAAGGGATGGGGATCCTCCCCCCCCCCTGGCCGCCGTTTGGGGAAGTCCTCCGCCCAAAGCCCCCCCCCGAAGGGCAGGGGTGGACACCGAACCCCCCCCACTCCGAACAAGCGGGAAAAAAAAAAACCACCGCCCAAAAAAGGCACACCCAAACCCCCCCCCAATCCCGTTTGCCGGGCCGGGGC